ACGATCCTCGCTGCTCTAAGCCATCTAGGTGGCGGCAACCACCAAGAGTAACAAGAGAATCCCACAGCGAAACACAAACACCAAATGCCTCTAGATGCAAACACTCAAGCGATGCACTTAGATTCACTCCCAATCTCACAAAGATGATGAATCAATGATGTAGATGAGTGGGAGGGCTTTGGCTAAGCTCATAAGGTTGCTATGTTAATGTAAAATGGCCAAGAGGGTGAGCTAGAGCCAGCCAAATGGTATTTATAGACACCCCAAACAATAGAGCCGTTGGCTCAATTATTGGGCTGACTACCGGACGACCGGATGCGTCCGGTCGCTGCCTGACCGCCACGTGTCCTTTTCAAATTATTTAGCCATTCGCGCCCAATGGCTAATACTACGTGATCGGACGCGCTGTTAGAAACGACCGGATGCGGGAGAAACAGCGCCTGGTCGAGTCTAGAGAGCTCCTAGAGCTGCTCTAGGCCGACCGGACATGTCCGGTCACACCGGACCGGATGCTCCCAGCGTCCGATCAATTATTGCGCTAAAACCCAAGACTTGCTGTCCGGTCGCTCTTTACAATCCTGCTTTGGGCTATATCACTTTGATCTGACGCTGAACAGTAACTCATCAGCATCTGGTCACTCCACTAAACCAGAGTCCGGTCACCTCGGCAACTCTACCCGCGCCTGGCTAGAATACCGGGCGTGTCCGGTATCAATATCGGATGCGTCCGGTCACGTCAGGAATACTGCCGCTGAGACCGTACCGGACGCGTCCGGTACGCATGTCGGACGCGCTGGTCACCCCGTGACCAACGCAAACAACTCCTTTTCAACCATATCTTCTTTACCCTTGCTCAAATGTGCCAACCACCAAGTGTATCACCTTATGCACATGTGTTAGCATATTTTCACAAAAAAATCAAGGGTGGTAGCACTCCACTAGATCCTAAATGCATATGTAATGAGTTAGAACATCTAGTGGCACTTTGATAACTGTATTTCGATACGAGTTTCACCCCTCTTAATAGTACGACTATCGATCCTAAATGTGATCACACTCGCTAAGTGTCTCGATCACTAAACCGAAAAGCTCCTATCAATTTCACCTTTGCCTTGAGCTTTTTATTTTTCTCTTACTTCTTTACCAAGTGCAAACACTTGATTATCACCATGGCATCACCATCATCAAGTCATGATCTTCATTTGCTTCAACACTTGGAGTAGTGCTACCTATCTCATAATTACTTTGATAAACTAGGTTAGCACTTAGGGTTTCATTAATTCACCAAAACCAAACTAGAGCTTTCATAAGATTAAGATGAGGTTTGGCTTGATGGACCGGTTGCAAGCGTGAAGGGCAAGTCGGAGGCTTTGAAGCGATAAACCACATGGCGGGGAAGCTTGAGCAAAGACTTGGCGCTGATGGACCGAAGCAACGGTGAAGAATAAGTGAGGTCAAGATCGATGAACCAATAATGTCACATGATGATATGAAGTGGATCATATCATTCAAGGAAGATCAAGCCAAGTGTTGACTCATGATGATGATCAAAAGGCTTGATCAAGATTAGTGCTTGTGTGGCATCAACAGTGGTGGAGATGGAATGGAATACGCAAGGCAAAGGTATAACCTATAGGAAATTTCATTTCACTGGTCTAAGGTTGAGTAGAGAAGAAATAGACCTGATTTAGGATAGATAGCTGTACTATAAAGAGAAGAAATCTTTTAGTTGCAACGGTTATCTAGTGCCACTAAGTGTGAGTTTCATTTGCATATGCATTGCGCTTAGTGACATGGTGAGATGCATGAGAAAGCCCAAGAAAATTCTTTGTGAAAAGCTATCTTAAGTGCTAAAATTGGTTTGGTGCTTTTGGGAAGAGATAACACTTGTTTTGGGCAAGTTATGAATTGTGAACAAGAATTTCTTGGTCACTGGGCTTATTATTCCAGGCAGGGGTCCCCTGTTGATTGGCCGGAATTAACTAGAATTTTAGTTGGCCCGAGGTAGAATTTCTAGTGTGGGAGGCGCACGTGGTGAGTGGAGCGCTCGCCCAAGAAATTCCAAGCCGTCGCCAGAAATTTCTGGTGCGGGAGTCCTCCTAGCCAACGGTCGGAAGAGGTGCGTCCGCCCGAGAATTTCTAGGCCACGTCGGCTAGAATTTCCAGTGCGGGAGTCCTCAGCGCCAACTGTCGGAAGAGGAGCGTCCGCCGGAGAATTTCTAGGCCGCGTCGACTAGAATTTCTAGTGCAGGGCTGGGAGCTGAGGGAGGTTGTGCGTGAGGGTATAAGGTTGTCTCCCCTCCTCTCTTCTTCCTCCTTGAGCTCATTCCCCATTGTTGCATCCAAGAGCTAGGGTTCTTCTCTCTCCTCTCTCTCTCTCCCATGATTTGAGCTAAGATTTCTAGGAGAGATTGAGTGCCCTTTGTGGGTGTGGATGAGAGATTGAAGATCCACCTCTTCCCCTTCGTCTCCCTCTCAAGCTTGGTGCTAATTTGATTGAGGGATTGAGTGACCTAGTGTGTGCATTTGAGGATTTGTATTTGGTGGCACTAGGAAACCTTTGTGATTGGGGGATTTCTTGTTACTCTTGGTGATTGCCATCACCTAGATGGACTGGTGGATTGTAGTCTCCATTGTGAAGCCCGCGTGGTGATTGTGCGGTGCTCCGGAGAAGAGCTTTTGTGAGGGGTGTTGTGCTCCCCCCGCGGGAGCCACGAAGAGCAACTCTAGTAGAGCGTGTCATTAAGCTACCCTGACTTTTGGGGTAGGTTCTTACGGCGCCCAACGTGTGGGCTAGGTTTGTGAAACACCTATTAGCCGCCGAACCACCAAGTGAGCGGTCGACCCAACGGGGACTAGCTTGGTGGTAACTAAGTGAACCTTGGGATAAAAATCACCGTGTCAACATTGGTCTTCCCGTTGGTTTGCATCCCCATATACAAGCTTGTATTTACTTTCATATATATTGTGCTTGTGTAGTTGCTCTTGTAATTAGTTACCTTGTGTAGCTTGCTAGTTACCTTCTTGCTTGTGTAGCATAGAAGTAGCTCCCTCGCGTGACTAGTTGGTTTGAGTAATCTTGCTAGTCACATTGCTTAGTTTGTGTAGCTAAGTAATTTGAGCTCTCTATTTTAGCTTGTGTAGCCTTGTTATTGAGCATTGCTAGTGAGCTTAAGAGCTTTGTGCTTTTGCTTACTCGTTTGTGTAGGAGCTCCTTCGGTGCTTGAAGTTCTAGTTGCATAGGTTTGTATGACCTTGCTACTAAAATTGTTTAGGTGAGCTCTAGCTAGCTTGGCACCTTTGTTGCCTAATTTGGATCTTTATAAGGTGCTTGTGAACTTAGATAGAGGGGTGTAGTCTTGACTAAACTGATAGTTTTAATTCTGCATTTGTCTCAGTTAGCCGGTGCGTTTAATTTTTAGAAAGAACTATTCACCCCCCTCTAGTCCGCCATCTTGACCCTACAATAAGGTCGAGCTCACTAATAGTGTTATAATATAACTACATTCCGGCAATAAGACATTAAGCCGATGTACTAGGAATATTCCAAATATGCCATGTTTGCACAAACCACAAACGAAGCCGGTGATCATTGTTCACAAGTGTTGTTTTCATGAAAATAAGAGAAAGCAACAATTGATGTGCATATGTAAGATGGAGTTGCAGTGAAAGATCATGTTGTGGCAACTTGCCAAGTTGCTTGAAAAAATTATGTTAATCAGGCCAATCACTGATTAAGATCATCTCTAAGAGTTTTTCTTAAACTCACTCCCTAGATCATTATTTGGAGAGCCATTTGAAGAGAAGTCATTCTTTATATCTTTCGACCCTTCAACAACTTCATGTATGCACTCTAGAGAGCCAGTCCCGCTCTCCATCTTTGGCTAGCGGAAAATCCGGAATAAAGAATGACTATATTTGGAGATCTAATTAAAGAACCTGTTGGAGGGTATCGTTTTTATAAAAATCTCTATTCCTATCAATTATGCAGGATATAAAGATGTTTTTGGAGTTGCTATAACCCTCACCCCCTCCTTACTGGGAACAATGACGGGGAATTAAAAAGGGCATATGCGACATATTAGCCTTCTTTGGATCTTTTTTTCAAACAAATCAGACAAGAGAACTATCAATTATATTAAAAGAGAAGAAAAGCTCAAACTGGCCGATAAAACAAAAAACAACCACAACAATGACGAAAACCTAGCTAACAAGTAACAATTGTAAGCAAAAGAAAATGACACACACATCGATTGATAGGATGGGGCCCTGAACTCACGCCACACAACACTGTCGCACTATCACTGTACCACTTTAACTCCACAAACGAACTTTGCCAGTCTCATGAGGAATATTTTGGCGCCGTTCGGCTGGTTGAAAAACCAGCCGGAATTCACTGTTTCCGGCTGAAAATCACTGTTCACGTTCTCACAGATTCATCCAGATTCCTTCAAATTCCTCCCAGCGAACATGGCATTTAGTGTTTCTCTAGTTTTTTTTAAAGAGAAGCTGGTAGGGAATCTAATGGTCTATGTATTCGTAGAGTAGGTGAAATACAGAAAAAAGAACACAGCTGCAGCGCACACTATCCACGCATGAAAAAACGATACCACGAGACAACCACCTATGAGATGGAAGAGAAAAAATTATGCGAAAGCAGCCATTTGCCGTTTCGATCCTTGAGGAAGGAGCTAAAGCAGGCCAACATTTCATTCCTCATTATTGGCAGATTGATGTTCGACGGAGTATACTGCAGATATGTGTGTTTCGTTGTGTATTTCTATCTTTAGGCCTTTGGTGTTTTTGGTTTGTTGTTGTTCTCCTTTATATCTACGTAGCCTGATCACTGACGCTCAAAACCCCAGCAGCTAAATTTAATTCAGGAGTGAAGGTCGCACAGATTTGCTTCAGTCAAAAACAATAGTAATACTGCATATACCCGTAGAAAAAAAATGAAAAACGATATGGGGCCTTTCATGAATCATGAACGATCGATGCATTCATATGGAGATGCTGTTAGGCACGCCGCGGCACGTGACCCCTGGCGGCGAGCTGGGCGCCAGCAGTTCGTACGGCAGCACCCCGGCGCCGCACCGGTTCTTCCTGCGCTGGTCCGCGTTTCGCCTCTCGATGGCCTCCTCGGCGCGGCGCACGTCGGCCTCGAACATGGCGTGCGCCACCACGGCGGCCGCGTCGCCCGTCCACGGCTCGTCGCGCCCCTCGCCGAGGTACTCCTCGTCGGGGGAGTGCGTCGACAGCGTGTCCACCACCGCCATGAACTTGGTGGCCTCCAGCACCCCGGGCATCGCGTTCAGGAAGAACCGGTGCGGGTCCGCCAGGAACGCCGCGTACTCGGCCGCGTCGCGCTCCGGGTCCGGCAGCAGCCGGCGCATCAGCGGCGGGCGGTTCGGCACGTACCCGCCCAGCGGGTACTGCCCGAAGTTGAGCGCCGCGTGCTGCGCTGACGCGAGCCAGATGAGCGTCGTCAGGATGGACGCGAGGTCCGCCGGCGTGGAGAGCGAGGGCCACCAGGGCGCGTGCCGGATGTCGGCGTGCCCGACGTGGACCGTCTCGTGGTACCACCCTTGGAGCTCGTCGTCGGACTGAACGGTGCCGGCGTCCGGGTAGTAGAGCTGCACGTACGACTCCACCCAGTTGCGAATGGCCGACCACAGCAGGAGCCCGTCGTTTGCGTAAGGGTAGTCCTCGATGAGGAGCCTGATGCCGTGAGGCTGCGACTCATCCTCCACAGCCACTCCCCTGACCAAGAGATGACGAAGCACGGGCGGGTAAATGTCAGTGGCCATGACGATGAAGAGCTTTCTGTTCAGTAAAATCAAGCAACTATAGATAGGGAGGGGGCAACGGCATGCATGCCTGCGGACGAGGTCAGCAGGGAGGCCCTCTAGGTCGAACCGCCAGTGGTTGCCGTAGTATGCAGCACTGATCTCGAAGGAGACAGGGCCAGGGGTGAAGCACGACTCGATGACACCGTCCGCACTGATCAGGCTCTGCCGTGCAAGCGCATTGATCTCCAGCGTGTACCGCATGTGGGGGTGTAAGAGCTTGAAGACTGGGTGCATCGCACTCATTCGCCGACGCGCTGCCAATATGAACGGCTCCATTATAGCATGTGTCCTCAGCCTGGAAGAGTTTGTCAGAGACTACTAGTAAGTGTTTCAGGATTGACATTGTTAAGAATCAACCAAATTGACAGTGGTAGTGCGCATGTTCACTATATAACAGTTCATTCTGGAAACCATACCAGTGATTAACGAGCTGATGAACACCGGCGTCATTTGAGCTGACATGAGCTTTGGCAAGCATCCATAGCCAATTGGAGGTAGCATCACTGGGAGGGGTAAGGACCTTGCTTGGCCGGGGCTCGCCTGCCTTGCTTGGAGGAAGGCTAAGTTCAATAGCAATTGGTTTCAATGTGCCAGCTTTGGTAAGAAACAAGATTGTCCGGGTTGCATATGCCTTCCGTCCCTCTATTGCATTAATCCGGTCCAAGAATGGAAGATAGACATCATGATAGTCCAATATAAACAGTTTTGCCTCGTCCACTGCCTGCACTCATGATGCATGATCAGGATCAGAAGAAGAAATTTCATTTTACATAATGACATAACCTTCAACTTCATCATATTGACAGTACCTGTTGTACTGTGAGTCCATTGAGCTGTCCAGCGATGTGCGCTTCCGTGATCGATGATTCTGGTGAGCCATAGATTGCAGGATCCAACTTGCTCACTGGTGGGAAAACCTATTTCCAAATAACAGCTCAGTAAAGTAGTACTGTATAAGAAGGCTATGTATTACTGGGGTTGATCGATATTATCAGCAGTATATTTACTTATGTACACAATAATCATGTTTTTAAGTTCATTACCGTGAGCCTGGTGATGCTAACTGGGTTTATTCCTGCCACAGTCTGCCGAGCAAACTCATCATCACGGAGCCATGCAAACTTGTCCTCTGCATAATCAAAGTATGATCATTAAAGCAGCAGTTCTCTGGACAAGAAGGCACTTGAATCTGAAGAACATCTAGCATTGGCTGCTGCTGATGCTTATGCTGATTTGTTGTAAGAGGAAAACACTGTTTGTTTGCTGAAAAGTACTGCTGAAGTAGTGCTGCAGAACAGGGTGAATAGATTTTACTTACTGGAAAGAATTCTAGGTGTATCATAGCGAAGCATCCCCTCACTTGATTCCTGAATCTTCTGAACAAGGGGTATTTTCTGGAACAGGTGCTCCTGGAGACCCAACTTCAGCCTGAGGCCCTCCTTATAGAGATTATCAACGTGGTGGAAACCTTGGAAGCTGTGGGTTTCAGCTGAGATGGTTGCAATCATCGATGGGATAAGGGTGTGAAGTACTGCCCGCAGCCTCCCTGATGAGAAGGCACCTTGCTTCAGCTCCTCAAATGCCTCATCCCGAGGTACGTATATCCGGTGTGGTTTCTCTACTCTACTCTCAGCCAGCATGTCTACACCACAGGTAAATGCACAAATTAGCTACAGTGTTTCTATGAGGTGAAAGACAGGCATGCTTAGTCTTCAAAATTTAGAGCAACCATTTTGTAGTAAACAGCTTCATTTAAATCATAAATGCCATAATTTACCATAAGAGTTGGTTGATAAAATTTAGTAAAACCCTCCAGTGGTAAATCATTACAGGCTGGAAACTCTGTGTCATTCGAAGAATAGAAGAAAATTAATGGAGAGAAACGACGACGAATACTTTTCTGTACGGTAGTTAATGTCATGGAGAGCATCCAAGAGAAAATATGCCCAAGAATGGAAAAAGGGAAAATACAGGGAATAAAACTCAGTGTGGATACAGCCTGTTGGTGTTCCTGATTGCTAAAGGTCATGTACATCCAACCTAACTAACTGAAATGTTCAGTACTTATTGAGACTCTTGACCCATGACATTTCCGTGATCCTGATCTGAATCCATTGAATTGTTCTGCTGAAACATGATAACTCAAATTTTATTTTTCTCCAAGAAGCGTGTGGAATAGATTCTGCAATCAAATGGTCAATCTAATTTCTGTCTTCCTCAAGTTAGGTGTAAAGCAAAATTCAAAAGGCATATGTTATCTTGTTCAAAATTTGGACATCATCAACCCATGTGGTGATTGGTGAAGGTGGCTGATGGGTGAAGCTGTCAAGTCTGAAAGTGACAAGGCATTTGATCAAAGTAGAATTGGACATGCACATATGATTGTGGCTATAGTTGGAAAGTAACAAGCATCATTTTGCCTTTGGCCAAATTCTAATTGCCATTATATGCAAACATTTTTCCTAAAGGTAACAGAAATTACTGGTTTTTGAGAGAACAACAGAACTTACTGGTATCAGTTGGTGGACGACCAGTTCGGCATCGCCGTGGGTAAGGGATCTTGTCACCTCCAAGGATTGGCCTGGTGAACTCTTTTCCCCGATCTGGATTCCCCAAATCATTGTATGTTGCATAATCATATATTCTGTCAGATAACTTCCGTACTCCTGTGCCATATCCTCTAAGGTCCTTCAGCTCCTTATCCCTTAGTTCTCTAAGTCCAGGTGGTGTTTCAGATGGTAAATACGGCTGCATGAGATTATCTAGGTCTTATCAGAAATATGATGCCGCAAATTCCTATTGGGTAAATTCTTAATATTAGTTACGTTCTCATAAAGAGGAAAGGTAATCCATTTGATGGTTAAAGGCAACATATGGGGGTTACACCCTAAATAAGGCTAATGCTACAACTACACATAATTATGGATTTTCAATGGTCCTTGACCTATTATCTACTAAACTGTAAGAGATCGGCAGAATATAAATTTTAACAGGGCTCGTAAAAATTACAATTTTACTAAAAATACACATGAACATACAGTGCAAGGGATTGATGACCCACTAAGCTCAGGTACTACAGATATGTTCTACTGAGGTCTACTCAAAAGCTTGCCATTTGAACAGCGCATAGACAACAACATATCAATTCATCATGCCTTTAGACTGGGCTCCACGTTTATAGTGAATGGCCTCGTTTCGTTATCAACATCGAAGAAAAGGATGCATGACCAGCTTGCCAACAGAAATGGCGATCATTTGTCACAGGATTGATGTAGCAGGCACATACTAATGATGATTGATGATAATCTAGTACCAGAAAGTCCAGGTCCAGGCATAGGTCGACAGCACGTTTTTCTTGAACTAGTAAGGAAATAAAATGCTACTAGTACTACCGTTTTCTTTAGCAGAAAATGCTTATTACCTTGTTACTGAAGAACACCCTCTTTCCCGGCAGTTCCCTGGTGGACTGCACCCAAGAGTTGCAGGCAAAGTGCACCGGACCACACGGCAGCCCACCCTCGACGACGATGCTCTCCAGAAAGAACTCCCGGTGGTGCCGGTTGGCCACGGTGATGGCGCCAGGCTCGCCGAAGTCTGAATCCACCATGAACTCAGCCGTGTACACGACGTGCTCTCCCTTGACACCCCTCTTCTGGCACCAGTCTTTGATCGATGCCTGACCGCTCTGCAACGGTTTCTTGGTCCCTGCCAATGATTCACGTGACCTTGAGAAGAGAAGTCAAATATGGAGACATGGAAAGCGACAAGCTTTGGGTGCCGATCACATGGTGATAATGGAGAGAAGGGGAAACATGTCTCGTTCAGTATTACATAGTGACTCATTTGAGCTTGAACTATTCAGAGCAGTAATCAGGACGGGGACTACTACTGCTAAAGGGGAGGCTAATGTTTTGCAGTGCTCTGAATACTGGGAGGTAGGAGGTCCTGTAAAAAATCTGCTCCATTTGTTCTCATGTTGGAGAAATCATGATCAAGCGAAAGACGCCAGCGGTTATAAAGTTGAACTGCTCCAGTTGACAGTTGTTTAGGTCGTCCCTTGTTTGTTGTGATTAAACAATTTGTTGGAAAATGCAGAGCGAATATACTAATGCGGAGAATCGCACACACGGACGCTCATTGGCTATCACGCCTCCATTATTGAAGATCCGCAGAAAGATCTGTTGATCATGTGCATCTAGTTAGCATCTTCCTAATCGCTGGTGCCACCTACCGGCTACCGATCAGGGCGGTCAGTCAAGAACAGACGGAGATGCCCAAAAAGGCAAAAGCTTTGCACGTCGAGCCCCCGATAGCTCTAACGACTAGCGAAAGCAAGCTAAAATTCAGAGGCAGCTCGAAAGTTTGTCGAGACTTATTAAGAGCAAGCAGGCAGGTCAACTCGAAGTAATTTAAGTAGCGAGAGAAAGAAAAGGGGAGGACGGACGGCGCGCCTTGGTGGATTGGACGAGGACGAGGGCGAGGAGCGAGGAGCGAGGAGCGAGGAGCGAGGGGGCGGTGTGAGTTGCTTACTGGCGTGGATCTTGGTGCTGATGAGCTCGAGCGCGACGCTCCGGCCGACCATGTCCCAGAGCGCGTCGAGGTGGCCGGCCAGCGCCTCCTTGAGGTCCTCCTTGTGCTTGCGGCGCACCGTGAGCGCGGCCCGCACCAGCACCTTCTCGGGCCGCCTGCCCTCCGGCGCGCCCTTCCCGGTCCCGGTCCCGGGCGCCGCGAGCCTCGGCAGGTCCTCGCTGATGGCCGCCACCACCTTGAGCCCCCGCCGCCGCCGCTGCTGCGGCGCGCGGTGGTGGAACGGCGCGACGCAGAGCTCGTTCGCGCCCCGGCGGCCCGGCACCGGCGGCCCCGCCGCGGCTGGCCCCCGGCGGAGGCCTGTGAGCTCCCTGCATGGCGCGGCCATGCTGCTGCGCCTGCGCGTTTGGGATCTTCGGTTTGTTTTGGCTGCGCTCAGGCGGGACCGCGGGAGCGGGAGCGGGAGCTAGTGAGGTGAGGTGGTTGGCGTCGTCGTGATGGAGCAGCAGCACTGCAGCAGTGACTAGGATTTAGCAGAGGAGGAGCCGTGTCGACTGCCTCGGCCTCGTGCGCCTTCTCTTCTTTTTTATAATTTGCAAGTCTGGGCAGAACGGAACGGAACGGAGTCTTGGTGGCATTGCAGGGACCAGGGAAGCTGTCAAGCTGGCCTGCTCCCTGTTCCTGTTTGACCTGAGAAAACAGGCAGCTACCAGTCTACTACTCCTGACACTGTCTCCGATGGTTGTTCCATGAGGGCACCCGTAACCAAAACGGGTCTCGAGTGCGACTGTATCAGCCTCCAACAGAGTATTTATATATGAGACCAATTTTAAGTTATAGTATGAGTATCCTCTCTCATAGAGACTCATTTGCAGAAATGGTTCTCTTTTGGGTCCTCAGCTTGTTCGGTTGGCTGGTTCGTATCGTTGCTGGTTCGTTTATGTGAGAGAAGTACTGTTGGCTGGTTCATGTGAACAGTGTTTTTGTGAGAGGGCTAGCCAGCCAGCCGCTCCCAGCCGATCGGGCTGCCTGTTGTTGGAGAAATGTAGGTACGGAACCCTTTATCTGTAGCACTACCCAAACATGAAATGTGTTTTACATTGTAGGTAATGTTTTGGAGATAGCCTAAGGTACCATTGAACAGCTAGCTTGTTCTGCTGACTGCTGTGCATGAAAACCGTTAGGATAGAATTGTCAGAAGTTCAGAACAGTGCTGTTCATATGAAACCGCGTTTGTTCTGCTGTACATGGACATGACAGCCACATTCAGATCACGATCATCTATCAGCAGCCGTCCGTTTGAATTCAAAATTGAACAGCTTGGAGTCATATGAAAAGGATGTTGGCTTTTCTCTCGCAATTCGCAATGATCGGTCGGTCGTAACTCGTTTGGGAAGCTCGAAGCTTCCTCGCCACTCGCCGATCGCCGTTGTATACTACTACTAGCATGTACTGCTATCCATATCCATGGACCATGGGGGCACGAACATAACACCGTGAAGCCGCCACGGTTTCCGTCCGGCCGAAATTTGACACCGTGTTGGATAAAAAAAACAGAATCCCCGGCGCAGTGCAGCAAAAAATAATGTAAAAAGCTTGCCTCATTTCGGCACGTTTCCTCTTTTTTTTTATGAGCTTTTGCTAGCTTGTTTAAAAGAAGTTGGTAGGCGCATGGAGTGTGCTTAATTAGTTAGCTTGCTGGTCTTGTGCGGTATACTAGGAGCAGTACAGGACGAAGGCTTATTTGGCGACGTTGCATTAGAGTGACGTAAGTGGAGCCGATGTGTTGGTCCGTCCGTTCACCGATGAGATGATCCTCCTCGTACTAGAAGCATCTGCAGGCATGTGCGAAAAGGCACATGTGGTCTTTTCACGAGATGGAAAAAAAAGGCGCGTACCCTGTTTAGGATTCAGGAACGGTGCTCTGCAAAATACAGTACATGGAATGCTCAAGAAAAATGCAAATAGCAAATGGTATGCGTCACAAAGAATCTAACCACATCTAAGATGCGCTAAAGTTACATAGAGTGGTATGTGTATGCTTGATGCTTCAATGGTCCAATCCAACTAGCAAAGCAGCCCTCCAGGCTCCGTGCAGTGCAGTGCAGGTGGTGCCGCCGGTCGACGCGGCCGCCGGCCGTTGCCCGTCTGGCCTCGTCGGATGGTCATGCACGCGCGACGTGGACAGTCTTTGTGAACATCTTTGTCGGCTTGTGGCTGATGGCGCCGGTGAAAGAAAAGGGAGGCTGGGCTTGCCTGCTCGTCTTTAGGCCGGTGCCATCCCAAATCCAACCCTTTTCTTCCACCTCCTTTTGACTTGTGCTGGATCATGGCCACCACGGCTTGCTTCAGTGCGTCGACTACATTTGGAAGTGGTATTAGTAATGATGTTCTTTTCCCAAGAACGCACTGGCCTTCTTGACGTTCCTGGGATTTTCCTGCCGGGCATGTCTCCCACTGGGGAATTGGGGGTGTTTTGAAGGGATTGATGACCCACTAAGCTCAGGTACTACAGATATGCAGCCTGTTCGCTTGCTCGTAAACGATCGTAAATTTCCAGTCGGGAATAGTGTTTTTCTCTCACACCAAACCAACCAGCAGTAAATAATCCACGATACGATACGGTCTCCCGAACAGGCTGATGTTCTACTGAGGTCTACTCAAAAGCTTGCCATTTGAACAGCGCATAGACAACAACATATCAATTCATCATGCCTTTAGACTGGGCTCCACGTTTATAGTGAATGGCCTCCTTTCGCTCTCAACATTGAAGACAAGGATGCATGACCAGCTTGCCAACAGAAATGGCGATCATTTGTCACAGGATTGATGTAGCAGGCACATACTAATGGTGATTGATGATAATCTAGTACCAGAAAGTCCAGGTCCAGGCATAGGTCGACAGCACGTTTTTCTTGAACTAGTAAGGAAATAAAATGCTACTAGTACTACCGTTTTCTTTAGCAGAAAATGCTTATTACCTTGTTACTGAAGAACACCCTCTTTCCCGGCAGTTCCCTGGTGGACTGCACCCAAGAGTTGCAGGCAAAGTGCACCGGACCACACGGCAGCCCACCCTCGACGACGATGCTCTCCAGAAAGAACTCCCGGTGGTGCCGGTTGGCCACGGTGATGGCGCGTGTTCCACGGGGGAATTGGGGATGTTTTGAAGGCGCGTGTTCCACGGTTGCAGGCAGGGTCTCTCTCTCTCTCTCTGAACTGCGAATCTCATGTTCTGATATTGCTGCGACCGCCGACCAGACTACATGCCTCGGCAGAAAGTCACTACTGGTAGCTCAGATATCAGGCCAAGAGCCCAGTGCCACGCATAGCACGGGGTGGGCTTTGCCGTCCCGCCCAAACCCACACCCATGCCACGCGGCCCACCGAGATGCACCGCATGGTACGATGCACGTGGGATCTCGCCCGCGCCGACTTGGGCTGCCAAGTACTCCCGGTAGATCCCTTATTCGTTAAATCAAATCAATATCTATATTTTTTTATATAATTCAAGAATGATAAAATATTTGGGCTCTAACATCCGCGAGTGAATAAGCATAGCCATCCAATACAACTTTTTTGGTTTGGCGAACGAAGTCATGCGGCATAAAGTGAAGCAGAATGAGTCGGTCCGGCACTTTTCACGGAATGAGTTGGTTCCTCGTGATGGCTTAGAATTAGCTCTCCATTGAAGCACTCGACGACGGACGGTGTGATTCCGCGCTGCAAACCAAACAATATTGTTAGCTGATAGTCTCGTTCTGTAAACCAAACACGCTGTTAAATTATACTAAACTCCACAAAACGAAATCCAAACAAAAGGGCACATCCTTGACACCCTAATTTTTCAAAGACTTTGATCGCCGTTATTTCCAAACAAATGACACCTTTCTTTCACTTCTACTCTTTCTTTCTCTTTAGATAACTATGACCATCGCAAGAAAGTGTTAGTGTTTGTTCTATTAAACACATTGTCATATCTACTTAACCAAATATCTATATCAATACCTATACCTATATCTATCTAGTATTAAAGAGAGAAGAGACTCTTCCAAACCTTTTTTTTGTTTGCACAATGGCTTCACACCCCTCGTCCCGTACGTGACCTAGAGTCACGACTCATGGTGATGCAAGTTAGAACCATGTGTTTTTTGTGCATCCAACAACGATATAGAGTCTGGTTCTTCCAAGACGATTGAAATAAACGACGTGATCATTAAATAAATGGCCGCAAATCATCCAGGTAACCACGCAGCAAGGTATATGTCGTTGAAGCACATGAACATGTTTGCTGGTTAGTATAAACAAGCCAAGCTCAAAGTTAGAGCCAAAATTTGCTAGCCTTGCAAACGTTGCAGGTTGGATAGGAACATTCAAAGTAGAGATGAAAGTGAATCAGACTGGAGTGGATAATACCTTTTTCGTATCCTGATCCATTTTATTTTGTTAGATTCACAGTGGGTGGATATTGCAAGGATTTATGTGCGATAATGATACCCTCAGGCCGTCCATCCTGTTCCGGACGGGACCGACCCGCCTACCTCCGTGCTTCGCGCCGCGCACCCTCGCTCGTGCCGCGCGTCACTCGTCGCCCGTGCCTCACGCCGTGCGACCGTGCCTCGCCTCTTGCGCTGCGCGCTCCTACCCACGCCTTGCACCTCGCGCTGCGCTCCTCTGCGCATCGCGCCTCTCAAGTCTCAACGGGGCCGCTATCCATCTGCCTATCGATCGTGGGCGACCTCGAGCTCCACGCCGGTGTCAGCTGAGCACATGTTGCAACCGTATGTTTCATGTGTTTCAGATGTATGTTGCATATGTTTCATCTAACTGTTTCAAAAGTAGATCTGTTGTTGCATATGTTGCAATGGCTATACACGTATGTTCCAAGTGTATGTTTCAAATATTTTAGCTGTTTCAAACTTATGTTGCCTGTGTTTTATCTGGATGTTGCATATGTTGCAATGGCTATATACATATTTTGCAAGTGTATGTTTCAAATGTTTCATCTGTTTCGGACGTATGTTGCAAGTGTGTTTATCTCGATGTTGCATATGTTGCACTGGCTACACATGTATGTTGCAAATGTATGTTTCAAATGTTTTATTTGTTTCAAACGTATGTTGCATGCGTTTTATCTGGATCTTGCATATGTTGCAATGGGCATGCACATATGTTGCAAGCAAATGTTTGTAAATGTTTCATCTGTTTCGGACGTATATTGCAGCAAATGCTTTATTTGCAAGTGTTGCATGACCAGGCGCGGGGAGTGGGCGTAGACGGAGGTGGTCCCCTCAGGCGCAACGGTCCCGCATGTGCGCAGGAAGCAAAGCGGGTGCGGTGGCCCCCGCATGCATGCGCCGCAACAGCAGGCGAGCCCGGCGCGGCAGG